CAAGCAGGTGGGGGTAGGTTTGTGGAGATGCAAGCGCAATTTGTGGATCAGAAGTTTGGAGGTTTCTTTCAAAGACAGTGAATCTCGTCAAATTTTAGAACGTGGACAGAGATAATTTTGGCTAAAAAGTTCCACGGTGGAGCTTTAAGCGTGTAGTCCATCTGTGGCCTCCAAGTTTCTCATTGTCCCCAGCCTCAGTCCAACATAAAAACCCGTATTCAAAGCACAGTTCCTCCTTGTATCTTCTCGTTGGTGGACCCAGAGCCAGAGAAGGTCCCGTCAGGTTTGAACTCTTCCAGATGTTTCAAAGACACATGGAAAAGTGGAGATGGTTCATGTTTTTAGCAGGTTGAGCTGTTGGGGTCTGCTCCTCTCTTTTCTCCTCATCCTCCACTTCTCCAGAATGGTTCGCGTCTGGACCACGGCTCTCAGCTTCGGGGACAGAATCACTGTGTGCCGCTGTGGGGGAAATAAACAAAAGAAAAGATTAGATTCAGAAAAATATAGAAGTGTGTAAAGTACAAAATAATGACTCAAGTACAAACGAGTGGTCCCAGAAGTAAAAAAAAGTATTTGCTGAAACTATTAAACGCAATTTGAATAGTCAGAAAAAGTTCATGTAACAGTAACAAAACAGTGTTGTTTAAATCTTTACAAACACGTTCTGAAATATCCTGTGTGTCAGATGCCCTCCCTGTGTCTCCATGAGGTCTTCTTCTGTGTAAAAGCTGATAACCCTGAACTTTAAACTTCTGAAAATGTTCTGAAAAGTCAACTTCCAATGGACCCTAGGATGGCACTTTTTGAAGTACCAACTGTTGATGTGTTTTAACAGTAAGCAAAAAATGTTCTGAGTTTTGTTACGCTACTGGCCAGGCACTTGACTTTACTGAATTGGAAAAGCAAAAAAAAAACAACCCACCAAAATCTTTTGAGAGCAATGAAGCAATACTTAGAATTAGAAAAAAGTAAGAGAAACAAACTTTTATGCTATCTTCAATCTTTAAATGACTCTTTTAATAGTAGGTAAATATTGACACAGCCCTATAATATATCATTTCTAAAATTATTGTATATTTATTTATTTTATTTTTTGTGCAGGTGTTTTGTTATTTTATTTTATTTTATTGTATTATAATTTTTTTTTTAATTGTAAATATTTCATATTTTTATTTGTGCCAAACTGTTTTGGTACAGTATTTATTTATTTATTTATTTATTTCGGTCACAGGTATATTTTGACATTAATTAATATTTAACATACACAGACTGAAAAGGTGCAGGCTGAAGCTTAAGCTTATTCTGCCTTTACCCTTTATTCCTTTGTCAGAGCTTCATCTGACACCAGTTCATCTTCAAAAATACAGCAGGAAGAAACAAACAAATCAGAAACAGAACAACAAAGTTCTACAGCACAAACTAAGTCTCATATTTCATGTATCTGTCCAGAGTTAAACATTTAAACTTCTTTATGAAGTGAAAGAAAGTGGTGCACAATTTGAGGTTTTCTGTACAGTTGTTCCAGAGCTCCAGCCCCTTTAACAGATTTACACAATTTCATAATGTTTGTTCTGATTTTCTTTTTAATAAACATGGTCGTGCCTCTGAGCTCATATTGGCTCTTTCCGGATTTTGAATATGTTCTGTAATGATTTTGACAGGAGATTGTTGTTTACTTTGAACATGATTATCAGAGTATAAAGGTCGACTACATCATAAAATTTCAGCGTTTGAAGCTTTATAAATAACACATTGGTTGGTTCGTTATAAGTTGATAATGTGATGCTCTTATTGCCTTTTTTTGCAGGTAAAGACTGGATTTGTATTAGTCTTATATGTATTGCCCCAAATCTCAATACCGTAGGTTATGTAGGGCATTACCAGTGAGTTGTATATAATAAAAAGTCTGTTTTTATCTAGGGTATATCTATATTTATATATAATTGTGATCACTTTGGATCATTTATTTCTAATTGTATTTATGTGTGATTTCCAGTTTAAATTATGATCTATAGTTACTCCTAAAAATTTATTTTGAAAGACTCTTTCTAGTGGTGTATTATTGAGCATAATTTGTACATAATTTTGTACATTCGGTTTGGTACACGGCTGTGCACGAGTGAGTTCGTTCAACTTTGTATGTGTTTCCTGCAGTGCTTTATAATTAAAGCACCCGCCTTGACAACAATTGCCCCCCCGCCTTGACTCTGTCCCTCTGAACCACATGAATCTTTGCAAAACTACAGTCGTCGTGACCCCCATACACTCTTCCTCGCCAAAGTGTATTTTCAGTCGCTGGGGACGTTGTACCTACAGCAGATCTGCACTTGACAAGTTGTTTTTTCTGGCCAAAAATCTGAAGATTGTACCCCAGAGCATTTTATCACCCAAGAATCAGGTTATATTTACTTGGTTAGTAGTTAATAGTTGCTTTACCCTGATGACAGACTCTGCTCTGGTTTCTAAGAGTTGTGAAAAGCGATTATAACCTCATCGTGGTGAGTAATTACTATGCGCTGGACCACTAAAACTGTTTACAACAAGAGAGTTTTGTTTTCTGTGTTTTCAAGGCGGTAAAAATCCGGTACAGAGACTTGAAACCTGGAGTGATTCTTTAGAAGAGACACAAACATTCTTGATTGTGGTTCCTCCGGGAGCTCCGCCTCGCCTTAATGTGTGCCCTCAGGTGAATGCGAAGTGTTGGCAACGATCCGGAGCGATTCCAAACTTGTTTTCATGTACGGATAATACTTTAGCTCGCCGTCTCTCACTGCTTTCATTCTGCACGGGTTGATTGATAAACAAGAGGAAAGTGCTGATGGATTTTGAACTTTTGTAATGCTCTTTCAAACGACCTCAACTTGTTATTTTTGGCTCCCTATTTTTGGCTCCCTACATATGTGAATTACCGATATTTAACACATGTTTCCCAATATTATGCAGAATACTAAGGGCATCTGACACACATAGATATATGAGAATGGGAGGGCATCTGACACACAGCAAAAACTGGAGGCTTCAAATTTCAGGGTAAAGGTTCAGGGTTGATATAGTTGAATTTAATGTTAGTGCTAGTGTTCATTCAACTTTCCTTAGTGTTAATTCAACTTTCACTAGTGTTAATTCAACTTCCCTTAGTGTTAATTCAGCTTCCCCTAATGTTAATTCAACTTCCCTTAGTGTTAATTCAACTTCCCTTAGTGTTAATTCAACTTCCCTTAGTGTTAATTCAACTTCCCTTAGTGTTAATTCAACTTCCCTTAGTGTTAATTCAACTTCCTTAGTGTTAATTCAACTTCCCTTAGTGTTAATTCAACTTTCCTTAGTGTTAATTCAACTTCCCTTAGTGTTAATTCAACTTCCTTAGTGTTAATTCAACTTCCCTTAGTGTTAATTCAACTTCCCTTAGTGTTAATTCAACTTTCCTTAGTGTTAATTCAACTTTCCTTAGTGTTAATTCAACTTTCCTTAGTGTTAATTCAACTTCCCTTAGTGTTAATTCAACTTTCCTTAGTGTTAATTCAATTTCCCTTAGTGATAATTTGGCACCTCAGACCCACCACTTCAAACTCCTGCGAGAGAAGACCAGTTTGAAGCAGTTTTGTACATAATTTCATCTTAAATTAACTCAAATAAAGTGTAAAAATAAAACAACTCTGTGTGTTGTTTAGCTAAATCAGGATAACTCTACAAAGTGTTATTTGTTTACTCTCAAAATGTTAATCTAACTCTTGATTTTGGAGTTAAACAGGAACTTTAGTCCAGTGTTACTTAATTAATATTTCCAAAATCTTAAATTAACAGATTGGACTCATAAAAACTCTGAGAAATTGTTCAAATTGACTCTGTGAGAGTTAATTTGAACGCTCCACTTTTTGCTGTGTACATAAGAACGGGAGGGCATCTGACAGTAATTGTGTCTTCTTTTCATTTGTAACATTCCCTTCTCTTCATGACGCCGCACGTTTGACAGACGATGTCATTTGAAATTCTTTGCGATTTTGAGGTTTTTGCCGTCGGCTTTAGCGAACAGCCGACTCGGAGCTGACACGCGTCATCTCAGTCTTCACTTCTGGAATGACATTTTTCAACTAAAATTGTCGAATTCATCACGTCCAAAAATGAAACACAATGTACCAAAACAGCCCTTACGTAAGAGTCACTGAGTGTGTTTGGAAATAAAGCTGGACTTGGGTTTGACCTAAAAACCACAGTACCAGAATATTGGCTTTACGAGTGCTACCTTCAATAAACAAAACCAGGTCTAGACTAAACCAAAACTGTATGATCAGGTCTAAACCAGGACTACAACAAGGACCAACGCATGTGTAGACGAAATATGACATCACGATTAGAAAGAAAGGTGTAATGAGGAATAAATGAGGACTAAAAATGACCTAAACCAAGCCTGAACCCTGTCTAAACTAGGACTAAACTAGGACTAAATAAGATCTAAACCAGGTCTAACCCAGGACTATACCAGGTCTAAACCAAATCTCATCCAGGATTTAATCAGATCTAAACTAGGACTAAACCACTTCTAAACAAGGACTAAATCAGATCTAAACCAAGCCTGAACCCATTCTAAAATAGGACTAAACTAGACCTAAACCAAGATTAAATAAAAACCAGGTCTAACCCAGCACTATACCAGGTCTAAACCAGGACTAAACCAGGTCTAAACTATGTAGTAACACCAAATTAAATTAACTTAATTGGACTAGGTCTAGACCAAGTCTAAATCAGGACTAAACCTTGTCTAAACCAGGTCTAAACCGGGACTAAACCAGGTCTGAACTGGGACTAAACCAAATCTAACTCAGGACTAAACAAGGACTAAACCAGGTCTAAACCAGGTCTAACCCAGGACTAAACCAGGTTTAAACCAAGTCAAAACCAGGACTAAACCAGTTCTAAAAAAGGGTCTAAACTGGGTGTAAATCATGTGTAGCGCAGGTCCTCACCTCTGCGCAGACGTGAGGGGTGGAGGCTGTTGACAGCGGCTGCTGGAACACTCCGGGCTGTGGACAGACGACATGTTTTCAGACTTCTCCCTGAAACAGACACAAACGCTTTCAGGAGACTGACGCTGACTCACCGGGTTCAACTATTACAGTAACAAGGCACAACAAAAACACGCAGGGAAACACTGATCTCACGACAGAAATCATCTACAAACACCTCTCTTTAGTTCAGCTCTCAGACTCTCGACTCGTGGTTTGACAAAAATGTTATAACTGTCAGAACTTGCTATTGCATGCAACATTTGAAGGACTTTTCCCTTTCAAACGATGTCATAGTTTGTTTTCAGTTGTTAACAGCTATGGCAACGCTTTTCATCTTTCAAGATTCTGAACATTCGATAAGATTACTCAACTTTGACAGGTTCAAACTTTTTTTTTTTTCTTCGTTGTTTGTTCAATATTAGGGGGCGGATGGTTCTAAACGAATCCCATTTTAAACCTGCTGTAGACTTGTAGATGCAGTTCTGGTCTAGTCCAGGTTAAGTTTTGGGTTTAGTTCTGGTTTAGTCCCAGTTTTGATGTGGTAAATGTGTAAATGTGATAAAGCCTTAGTGTCAAAATAAGCTTATACAAGAGTTTCTATGGTATGCAGGGTTTGGCTATTCACTCCCAACAATAGTTTTTGATCAGAAACAGCAAATGGAACTTGGACAACTGAAAGAATCTTTTGGGAACTTGCATTTGTTGATTTCATGTTTCATCAGGATTACCACAATATGATTTTAGTAACATTCATTCAGATATACTTGATTTCTTTAAAGTTACTGCACATGGCACGTCACCTGCATGATTCCGTGGAAAGTTAAAACCACACTTTAGAACCTTCTCCGTGGATTTCAGATTCTAGGATGTGATTATGTCATACTTCTGGATGGGGGCAGAAGTATGTTTGAACTGTTTGAATCGTTTTGGTTGTGGGTGCAGTGTTCGTTCACACTAATCCGATTGAAAACGGCTCCAGAGACGGAACGATCTGGTGCCTCCAGCTCCTACGAATCTGAGTACAGATCTGATCCGGCACTGTGTGGACGTCTGAAAACACTGATACTCTGATGGAGGTCTGTGCGTCACGAAGTAATTCACCGCCAAAACACTAAGAGGCTAGAATATATGTCCATTCATATAAATGTGTGTCTGTGTGTACGACCTGCAGACTTATAATCTCTGAAAAGTTTCACATGAACCATCTCCAACACGACAGAAACACAGAACAGACTCACCATAAGCAGAACACCCCTCTGTCACAGAAAGAACACTCATATTCCACTGAGTCATGCTCTTTAGTCCGACAGAAGCTGAACTGCATCAGCGCACAATAGCGAGCTGTTTTTTTGAGCACTTAATTTATGCAAATGAGTCATGTGGTCTTAAGTTTTGTTTCTTTAAAATGTAAACAAATATGCTCAAAGCTGTGTGGATAGGGAAGGATTGCGGTCACAGAAACGACGTGTGTGGACGCAGATCATTTCCGATACGGTGATACGGTGATACAGTGATTCATTTAAGTATAAACGTAGCCCCAGTTTTTCCTTTTAATTCCATTGTACTTTGCCATGAAATATCAGGAAGGTAAATTCACAAATATGGAACTTGGAACTTTGGAACTTGGAACAGGTGAACAATACAAATTTTAGCTGTCCCCATCTGTATTAAATAATATTGGCCTATAGAATGCTGTGATGTCAACTGAAATACAGGAATATCCAAAGGAACAACGTCTCCATGGAATCAAGCAGGAACATTTTATGTTCTCTCGAGCTTAAACAGAAGCGTAACCCACCTGTGCTCTTGTGTTCGGGGTTGGCAGAAGTGGTCACAGGTCCGGTCGTCCCTCTGGAGACACACGCAGCGGGTGCTCTCGGTGCTCCTCGACCCCGGGACAGAGCGCCTCCTCCTGGGAGCGTTCCCCAAACCGTACGACACCACCCTCCTAGAACGAAAACACGCGAACATCAGCACACGGTCCAGGTATCCAAACGATCTCTAACTATTATTGTGTGTAGTTTTATAGTTTCTTTTTAGCTCTTATGTCACTCTCTTTCATTAATGCCACAGGATTTGAATAAAAGTTTGATTTACATAGACATAGACTGTCTTTTTGTGTCTTTTAAAGAAATGTGAACTTTTTGGGTGCACTGGCTTTCACAATTGCATGCTGGTTCCAGTTTTTCTGTGTTATGACGTACATCTTTTAGGGATGGGACAAGATCTCTCTCAAGATCTTGAGAGATTTTGTTCCAGGTGTTAACATTTGAACCGAACAAAAACGTGTTAAGTACCGATGAGTTTAATCTTTTACAGTTTCGAAACAAGTACTAGAATGTTAACAAAACTATGAAATCAAAGAAATTAAAAATGGTGAGACCAAAACTGGAAACTGAATCGTGAAATTGAAATATTAGAAGTTATGTTTAAATCTCATGTCTTGTCTCGTCCCATCCCTAACGTCTAATCACATCAATATTCATATCTATTATAATGAGCTGAGCTTTGTTCCGCCACATTCCAAACTATATGAGGCGGTCACCTTTCACATGTGTGTATTTACTAGACCAAAATGAGTTTATTGCTATAAAACGACTTTATTATAGAGCATTTAGCGCTCTTAAACTCTCCAGATTTGCTGCGTCAGGTGCACAGTGTTGGCTACGTTCAACCCAAATGAATGACTTTGCAATATGAAGATTTCTTATCGTGTTTTTCTTATCACAATTTTCACAACAATAACACGCAAACCTTTAAATGCTACTGGAAGCGTCTGGTTTTACGCGTCGTTTCCAAACTTGCTTATTCTTTGCAACATTTTAAGATCGGATCGGATCTAAACCAGGTCTAACCCAGGATTAAACCAAGACTAAACCAGATATAAACTCTATATTAACACCAAATAAAATGAACTTCATTGGACTAGATCTAAACCGGGACTAAACCAGGACAAAACCAGGTCTAAACCAGGTCTAAACCAGGACTAAACCAGGTCTAAACCAGGTCTAAACCAAGACTAAACCAGGACTAAACCAGGTCTAAACCGGGACTAAACTAGGTCTAAACCAGGACTAAATCAGGACTGGTCTGGCTTTACGCACCGTTTCCAAACTCGCTTATTCTTTGCAACTTTCCAAACAAAAAGATATAAGATGTTGTTTTAAATTGTTAATCACTATGACAACGGCCCTGAACTGCACTCATCGTGAGCCCCGTGCGCAGACTTACTCGGGCGTGTTGACCCAGATGATGTCCAGGTGGCAGAAGTACACGCACTCTTTGTCCAGGAACGTGGCGCACGAGCAGCGCTTGGTCCGTACGCGCCCGCCGCCGCTGCTGTGGGTGGGGGAGAGGTCGCGCGGGTGCTCCGTGGGTGCTGCCAGACCTGGGGGTACGAAAACACGACATCAGCACGCGGCTCTGATCTTGTTACCTTTGGATGTGACCGTGCGTAAAAGTGGGAATATTCGATTCAGTGTAGTTATGTATTGCCCAAAAGCACAAAAGCAGTCACCTTGCAGGACTTAACACTAGAGCTAGATACATTTTGAACAGAAAATTACTAAATTAAACAGTGATCAAAAACAAAACATAAACAAAACGCGCGCATGACTCTAAGAAAAGTAACGAACCAAAACGTGTGTCCAATGTGCGTAAAGTGCGCGCGTCAAAATCGGGACTAAACCAGCACTAACCCCAAACCTAAACCTGGATTAGACCAGAACTAAACCAGGACTAAACCAGGACCAAGCCAAGTCCACATGGGGACTAAAACGAGCTCATTTTAACACCAAATAACAACAACAACAACAAGTGTGAACGCACCGTGAGATAAGAAACGAACTCAAATACGCAGAGTTAAATATTAAACTAAAAAGAAACTATTTACGATGTATGTGGTGGTTAATTGATAAACAAGGCAAACAATGAAATTATTCCTTGAAACACACCGCTCCCTTTACTGCTTTTAAGAACAACACGTTTATTTTGATAACACCAGACTTTTGTTTGATATGCAAATAGTTTTACTGATTCTTTTTTGATTCTTTTTTGCACGTTTTTAATTTTTGCAATGAGTCTTGACTGAGGTTTTAATTGCACTGTGAAGCACTTTGCAACGTGGTTTAGAAAAGTTAAAAATTTAAGAATGAAAATATGCTCTTAACACACGAATTTACTTCTTAATTCGATTATTTCTAAAAAAGCAAGCGTTAATTGCTATTCAAATGATCGAATTTTCACAAAAAGACGCACTACGCACCTGCGCTCAACACGACAGAGAACATCCCCAACACCGCGGAAATCAAAAAGTACAAATCCATTTTCAGAAAAGTCTCCAAAAGTCGCGTGTAATCCACAAAATATCTAAAAGTTCTTATAATATTTCCTCCGTTCGCTCTTGCGCCTTCAGCCGTGCGTCTTGGCGCGCGTAAAAGTATCCAGAGCGAGTCTTGGTTCAGTTTGTGTCTCCACATGTGCGCGCGTGGCTTTATACGCAGGTCCCTCCCCTCTCCTCCGCTCCCTCTCTCTTTCCCTCCGTCTCTTTCTTTCCCTCCTTCTCTCCGGGTGTTGTTGTTGTTCTGGCCCGCGACACAAAGCGCTTCTCCGGCTGCGTGAGGGCGATAAGGCTCGGGGCTTGGAGCTTTCTCATCTGTGGTTGAGAAAGTGCCAAAGTTTAATGAGGCGCGGTGAGGGAGTCTGACAGCAGGGGGCAGAAGAGAGCGGGGCTAGTCAAACCGCAGTGTTTCACCACATATTTGCAGAATTGGGAGACAGATTTAAGAATCCAGATTTAACTTTTTTGGAATTTGAAGGTGCATTGTGTAACTTTCCTGGAGGAGGGTCTGTCAGGTGGTTGGTGGTTCAAATCCTGCTCTTGACATAAACATCATTGGTTGAGCAGTCAGATCCACTGACCCACAGGTTGGCTGCTGTCGTTGTGACCTTGAGCAAGACACTAAACCCACCTCACCCCCAGTGTCTGTACACTGGTGTGTGAACGGGTGAGGGGCTCCTTGTTGTAAAGCAGGCATGTCCAAACTATGGCCCGGGAGCCAAATGCGGTCCTCATACAAATTTTTCTTGGCCATCAGACTTCCAGATGAATTGGCCCAAATTACCTTGCATCAATTAAAAAAATATATTTTTTTTTACTGCAAGTTTTTTGAAAATCTGCCTTGATAAAGCCAATATTTAATATTTAGTGTTTGGCTTTAAGGATCTTGGCATGAATAAAAACTGATGGCTCATTCTAACATGATAAACATGCACACATTTCAATTATTCCCTGTACTGAGTCTGGCCCTCGATTGGCCCTCTGCTTCATCTGTGTTTAAATATGTGGCCCTTGATGAAAAGGTTTGGACACCCAGCCGATCCTTTTTTCAAGAAAGCTGCTTTTCTGTTGTTTACAGTGTGTATGTATACCTGATTATTGTTTCTCTCTTGGCACAAGCTCAAAATAAAAATGAATGAATCAATCAATCAATAAATTTCATAGACATATGTCACAAAGATGTTTTACAGAGTATTATTCATTCACTCCAGACCCAGTGGTGGTAAACTACTATTAAACTACTAACTGCTGGAAGTGAAGCTGCAAATCTGCTCCATCAGTCCCTCCGACCACCACCAACACTCACGCTCAAACCACTTTCACACTGGGCAATGTAGATGAAGTGTCTTGCCAAAGGACACAATGACAGTTTTTGTGACTGGTGCCCCCCTGTGGCACCTGATTTTCCCAGAAGTTTCCCATCCAAGTCCTGACCAGACCCGACCTCTGACCTCCTGAGATCTGAGGGGATCAGGTTTGACAAACTGAAATGGCCACAAACTAAAACAACCTGTGATTGAATAAATGTAAAGTAGAGCTGTTTAATGTCACACTGTGGAACATTCCAGGCAGAGAAATGAGCAATGACATCTCCTTAGAAACAAGCAGGTGACAGACCCCTAACCAAAACGTATTTTATTAGAGAAAAAAAAAAGGAACAAAAAGTGTCAAAGTGTCTATTTTTTTAATACGTTGTTCACATTCTAAAGCAGGGGTGTCAAACATACGGCCTGGGGGCCAGATCCGGCCCTCCAAGACCTTTAATCTGGCCCTCGGCTGATTTTCAACTAAAATATTTTAATTATACTTTCTATTAAAATCTTGTTAATTTTCTGCGGTGTTTATCACAGCAGCGTCTCCAGCGTCTCTGTACGTGGCCCCTCCCACCAGAGCAGCACAAATGAAGACTTGTCTCTTTCCAAACGCTCTTAAAGGACGATCGTTTTGACTGTTGACCGTGACACCCTCATCAGAAAAATGTCCAACATGAGAAAAGTTGGACGCTGAGTGCAAGATACAAGTTCATGTTGAAACATTGTGTTGAAATTGCATTTTTCTTAAAGTTTCAGGTTGTTCATAATATTATAAGATTTTGTAAAAGAAAGAGTTCATCAATTAAAAAAGATTTCTGTAACAGATTTGTGTTTCTCTCCACAAATATTTGAACTTATTGTTATTTTTGGGGTTTATATGACATGAGTTTTCTGATCCGGCCCCTTTGAGATCAAAGTAGGTTGGATACGGCCCCCGGACCAAAATGCGTTTGACACGTCTGCTCTAGAATGTGATGACGTAATAGTTACACATGGAGGGCAGGGGCCTGTATAACTCTTCACTATTTTTGGAAGAAATCTCCAAACTTCTGATCCACAAATATTTCTCCTTCTCGTTATTTGTTTGAAGTCGGCTCCGCAAACTTGTCATATTAATCTTACGGCTTAAAGTTCTTTCACCTGACAACAAACACATTTTTGGCGAATACTGGCACCACTTCCTGAAGCGATTATGAAAAAATAGTTTCTCTTTTGTTTATTTACACTGGCAGAGATTACTTTGAACTTTGTGCCAGTTTTTGTTTCATGTGGATAGGCCCAGTAATTACAGATATGAACCATAAACCAGGTCAACAAATCTGCATCTGACAGTTCCACAGCAGACTCCACCTGAGAACTAGTATTTTCCCAAGAACACAGGGATAATATACAATGACCAAAGCCGGAATTGAACCGTCAACAATCCCGGTAACATGTGGGTCAAATACATTAGACACAATTTCCTGTGAAGTGTAAACCTGAATAACCTTGCTCTTTGTTTGGTAGGAGTCGTGTCTCACAGTTGTGGGTGAACTCCTCCTGCTGCAGCTGTGCCTAAGAATAGTCCAAACTAAACTACACCCAACATTCCAGCAAAAGTCAACAGCTCTATCTGCCATTCTGTCACTCAGCAGCACCACCTGTGTGTGTGTGTGTGTGTGTGTGTGTGTGTGTGTGTGTGTGTGCGTGCGTGTGTGTGTGCGTGCGTGTGTGTGTGTGTGTGTGTGTGTGTGTGTGTGTGGTGTGGGGGGGGGCTCTAGAGTGACACCTGTGGATCATTTGGATATTTTAAATCACAATATTCATTTAAAACAACTTACTAATACTCCCTACAACTGTACAACACCTCACTCTTATGTAACAGACTCCCTACAACTGTACAACTCACTCTTATGTACACAATAATACTCCCTACAACTGTACAACACTCACTCTTATGTAACAGATAATAAGATAATACTCCTACAACTGTACAGTAACAACTCACATTATGCAACTTAACACTGTGTGTGTGTGTGTGTGGGGGGGGGGGGGGGGGGGGATCATTTTAAAAATCACAATATTCATTTAAAACGACTTACTAATACTCCCTACAACTGTACAACACCTCAACATTATGTAACAGACAATACTCCCTGTAACAACTACCTTATGTAACAATATATACTCCTACAACTGTACAACACCTCAACATTATGTAACAGACAATACTCCCTACAACTGTATAACAACTCACCCTTATGTAACAGATAATACTCCTACAACTGTATAACAACTCACCTTATGTAACAGATAATACTCCCTACAACTGTACAACTCACCTTATGTAACAGATAATACTCTACAACTGTACAACTCACATTATGTAACAGATAATACTCCCTACAACTGTATAACAACTCACCCTTATGTAACAGATAATACTCCCTACAACTGTATAACAACTCACACTTATGTAACAGATAATACTCCCTACAACTGTACAACTCACTCTTATGTAACAGATAATACTCCCTACAACTGTATAACAACTCACCCTTATGTAACAGATAATACTCCCTACAACTGTACAACTCACCTTATGTAAAGATAATACTCCTACACTGTACACTCACCCTTATGTAACAGATAATACTCCCTACAACTGTATAACACTCACACTTATGTAACAGATAATACTCCTACAACTGTACAACTACTTATGTAACAGATAATACTCCCTACAACTGTACAACAACTCACTCTTATGTAACAGATAATACTCCCTACAACTGTATAACAACTCACCCTTATGTAACAGATAATACTCCCTACAACTGTAACAACTCACCCTTATGTAACAGATAATACTCCCTACAACTGTACAACAACTCACTCTTATGTAACAGATAATAAGATAATACTCCCTACAACTGTACAACAACTCACTCTTATGTAACAGATAATTAGATAATACTCCCTACAACTGTACAGCAACTCACCATTATGCAACAGATAATACTCCTTACACTGTGTGTGTGTGGGGGGAGGGGGGGGATCATTTGGACATTTTAAATCACAATATTCATTTAAAATGACTTACTAATACTCCCTACAACTGTACAACACCTCAACATTATGTAACAGACAATACTCCCTACAACTGTACAACACCTCAACATTATGTAACAGATCAAACTGTACAACCCTTATGTAACAGTAATACTCCCTACAACTGTACAACTCACCCTTATGTAACAGATAATACTCCCTACAACTGTATACAACTCACCCTTATGCAACAGATAATACTCCCTACAACTGTACAACTCACTTATGTAACAGATAATACTCCTGTACAACTACTTATGTAACAGAAATACTCCTACAACTGTACAACTCACCTCTATGTAACAGATAATACTCCCTACAACTGTATAACAACTCACCTTATGTAACAGATAATACTCCCTACAACTGTACAACAACTCACACTTATGTAACAGATAATACTCCCTACAACTGTATAATAACTCACCATTATGTAACAGATAATACTCCCTACAACTGTACAACTCACCCTTATGTAACAGATAATACTCCCTACAACTGTATAACAACTCACCCTTATGTAACAGATAATACTCCCTACAACTGTATAACAACTCACACTTATGTAACAGATAATACTCCCTACAACTGTACAACTCACTCTTATGTAACAGATAATACTCCCTACAACTGTATAACAACTCACACTTATGTAACAGATAATACTCCCTACAACTGTATAATAACTCACCATTAAGTAACAGATA